AGAACAAACTAAAGAAAATGTCTGACAAAATTGAAGCTAAATAAGTTTATTTTCCTTACTTACATTGTAATATATGAGTGCTAGATAACATGAAAAGAAGAAACAAAAGCAACTGCCAAATGCTTTTATAAAGGAGATAAGAGCATATGTGGAGGGAAATGACCCATAAATGTTATCTCAGAGAGGTCCCACTTGGAATAAGCATATATATGGCAGTTATGTCTAAAATTTGTTATGTTGCTATTGTTTTGTGAAATGACAGAACATCTGCTCAATCACAAGGCACCAGTAAAATGCAGCTTTATGCCTAAAGCAGTATGTCATTTTCCTAACAAAAAATGTATATAGCAGGCCAAAAACAAAGGCACATTGTCTTTTCCAGTTGTAGTCATTTCTGACCTAATAATGGTTTAGAAAGGATTTTTTATTTTTATTTTTAAAGAAATGAGTGGAAGGATTGAGTCATTTATGAGTCTGTTCAAGATGAGGCTTTGTGCATTATTTGTGCATAAGCTGGCAAAACTCTTTGTCTCTGCAAATCATATTTATGTCACTAGAGCACTTTTAAAAAGGCAGCTACGTGTAAGTACCTTGAGAAAAAATCATGCTTAGCTTTTAATTTCTACATGCAGTGTATAATCAGCTGGTTTTTCCTCCCACTGGAAACACCAGCAAGTGATATGTGTGATATGTGTGCTTACATGGTGAGTGGACACAAGTCACATTTCACCTCAGAGCTGACTCTTCAGAAGGAAAAAGGATTCCCAGTGCAATCTGTCATGTAGAAAACTAATTAACAAATCCCTCTGGAACAACCATTCGATGGAATTTGTCTCTGAATATTCCAAGCACACAACTTTTAAGTGGCTTTATTCAAAGAGAATATTTTCATTGTTGTGTTCAGCGACCTGAGAAGCCTGAAACTCTGGTGTAAAATATAATTTTAAAACCTATTTTCTGATGAAATGGGGTTATTATCCTACAGCTTGAAGCCATACACATGCATATATGACCCCTCAGCAAATAGACTGGGCAATGAAACAAATAGAAATTGGCACCTTTTTCTACAGTGGTTTTCATGGAGTGAAGCAGCTATTATTTAATTAAGGTGTGGAAGTATTCAAGTGGAACATGGCTTCATGAAAAACCACGATAATGAATTTGTATTCTGCCACACCTGTGTTCAGAGTGAGAATTAGGCTTGGGCTCGTGGAGAGCTCAGGGGTTCTGTGTGTTTGAAGCCTGTGAAGTCAGAAGGACTCTTTAATGTGACTGGGAATGCATGTGCTACATGATGAAGTATTAATGGGGGAGAAAAACAGGAGCCACTCTCATATGAATTCTTTCCTCTCCAGAAAACCTCGTGTCAGCAGAATTTCGTTTTTTTTAATGTCACTTAAGGTTGGGACCTTTGGTGGAATAAATAAAATCCATGCAGGAGAGTCACCTGTGTCTGACTCAGAGCTGAATAGTAATGTGCGATTTTTACCTTTCAGCTGAGTCAGATAGACACTAAAACTTCCCCTCAGAAGCAGTATATAGTTTCTCAGAAACCCTTCAGAGGTTTATGAACCTGATCCAAAGCTTATTGGAGTTGGGGAAATTCCTGATTTGAGTCAGTTTCCAGTTGGACTGTACAAATCTTACTGATCTATTTATATAACCTTTTCAAGAGGGGGAAAAAAAAAATCATCTTTCACATATGGCCAAAACTTGAAGACTTAATTTTTAAGCTGTTAAGATTCCAGTATTCCCTGGAATCTTCGGCAGCAGGTATCTTGTGCTTTGTGAAGGTAAAGGCACAAGCTCTGGGGCCCTGCCTGAAATTCATTGCAATTATTTAACTGAGGCATCAATGCTCAGCACCAGAGCAGGGCACTCCCAGGCAGGAGCTGTTGTGCAGAGTTGTCAGAGGTGGCTGGATGGCATCATTTGTCAGCTGGCAGGGAAAGAGCCACCAAAAGGAGGTGTTTTTAAGAGTGGCTCTTAAGCAGTCATAGAATTGCCACATGTGACTCCAGTCTCTGCTCCCCAGGGTTAAATAGGGGCAAGGGACTCTGGTTCTGCCCACAGCCATCAGGGAAGAAGGAGGATTTGTGCTTGGTGGCAGCAGCCTGGAGAATTGTTCAAGGTTTTTAACAGATCTGTGTCTGCCAGGCTGTCTCTGAAGATGACCTGAACTTGCAGGTGACCTCCAGGTCCTCTGCAGTCCCACAAAGTACAGCAGGCATTCCCTGCCCACACCCAGCCCCTGGGACCAGAGAGTCAAAAGGGATGGTTAATGTCTTCCATTATGATCTTGGGTGCTATTTTCACAGAATCACAGAATGAGCTAGGTTGGAAAAGACCTTTAAGATCATCAAGTCCAATCTGTGACCTGACACCTCCTCATCAACCAAACCATGGCACTGAGTGCCACGTCCAGGCTGTTCTTAAACACCTCCAGGGTGCAGTCTCAGGCCTTTGAGACAGGTTCCTTTCATTCTGTGAAAAAAAGGAGATTAGGACATTGCATAAGGGCTGGCATAAGCTTTGCTACTGCCCTGAAACACTGATGTCACTGGAGTCCTGTGGCAGTAGCCAAAGGAGAGCTGTGCCTTCCAAATCTGGAAAAGAGAAGGAAGCTGGGTCACAAGTCACTGTGAAATGGTGACATTGCCTTCTCAGCAGGGATGCTCAGTGTGTCTGCAGCTCCTCACTGAAGTGAGAGCTATCCCATCTCCTGGAATGAGTTTATTTACAGATAAACCATTACTGATGCACAAAGTCAGGCTCTGGTCGGTTGTTCTAGGTGAGTGGTAACCACAGGACATAAAAGCCCTGTTTGTGAAGAGGCTGGGGAAGGGCACCCAAGGTGAAAAGGCTTGGTAGGTCCCACCTGAGCTGATGTGGTGATGGTGAAGCTGGGTGTCAGGGCTCTGGGTAATTTGGTGACAAGCCAAGAAAGGGCTGATGCACCTTCAGAGATAGAGAGGAGATGGGATCTGGGCTCCTCTCTTGCTGCAGTGGAGGCACCAGGACCCAGAAATGCTGCAGTGCACCATGCTGGAGAGCTCAGCTTCTCCTTGGAGCTGGGGCCCATTTTGTTCAAGTATTGCTTGTTTTGAGCAGAGATCAGGATTTAAGCCATGGGCACTGAATGAAATCAGATTTTTGCAAAGAAGGAGTGCCTTAACAGGCAGTAAACATTTCTGCTCTGACTTGCAAACAGTCATTAAAAGCCTTTATTAAATTTTGTGTCTGTTCTGTTTGCCACTTAGCCATTTCTTTTCATTCTGAAGAATTATAACTAAGAATGAATGAATCTTTTCTAATATGGTCAGGACATAATAAATTTGTGAAAGAACTGAGTTATCTTTCTCCCTCATAGGCAAAATTTTCCAATTGTTTAACAAAACGTTTTGTATTGCCATGACATCTGTCTTTATGGCTGTGAATAGCAAGGCTCAACATTAGGCAACTTGTTTATAAAAAACAGATTTGCAGAAACAATTAGAGAGTTTTCAGTGTGCTCCCCTACTCGAGTCCATACCCTCTCCTCCCACTTACTGCTCTCTCTACTGCACTGTGCAGTTATTTGTGTCTTCAGAAGGAGCAAACTGAGCTCTTCAGTGCAAGGGTGCAGAATTTCCCGAGTTGTGCCTTGGAGAAGTTGGCATCTGTTGTTTCCCAGACCCGGATCTGCTGTGCTGCTCCAAGCATTTGTGAGCCCTGGAGTGGAGGATGGCAGCTCCCAGCACCTGAACAAGAAGGAGACTGTGACACAAAGCTTCCCACTCCAGAGAAATGGCTGCATCCATCACCACCCTTTCAGCCCAGTTAATACAGTTGTGTTAGTCCTGTGCTCCACTTCACCCACAGCTCCCAGAACAGCTCCTTTTTAGAGTCTGAATCTCCAAAGTGTAACATTTCAAAGTACATTTTGCTCAGTACCAAGAATAATCAGTCCTCTGGGATGAAGCAGATCACAAAGCCTGAAATGGATCTGGAGTACTTTGGAGGAAGAATCTTTTGTGAAGGATATTGGATAGATGCACAATCTGGCAGCAGTGCAGAGGCTTTGAGAGCAGTACAGAGGCTTTCCATTTGGTCCGTGCTCCTCAGGCGTGGGGCAAAGGTTCAGGCTTCTCCTGGACCATCCTTGCTTGATGAATATTTGCCTTATAACACAATTTATTAATCTAAGGCATTTGGTTTGATTTTTTTTCCCCCGGATAGTGCTGCTCTTCGTGTGCCCTGCACAGGCTGGGTTTAGATTCAAGAAAATGAGATTTTTTCATCTTTTGGAACTACCAGTGAGCTGAAAAATCATTTATTTCCACAGTGCTAATAGTAGACAACTGTTTGTGGTGACAGCAGGAGAAAGAGTTATCTAAAGATCAAAAATCTGAGTTTTGGGAGGTAATATGTTGTTAGAACAAGCATGACCTGGTGTGATAGATTCCGATTTATTTTAGAAAACGTTTTCTTACTCTGTGCTCAGTCCTGGAAATATTTCAAGTGAAATCTAATGCACAGCTTGCAGTTGGAACAGGCATCTTAAATGGAAGCATCTTAAAAGCCTTATCCAGGGGCAAGGTTTCCAAGTGACCAGGCCCATCATGAAAAGGAGCAAATGCCCTCAGCTGTGAAGTTTGTCAGCTGTAAATCCCTCAAAACGAGTGCCTGGGCAGCTGGCACATTGTACCAGCACTAACAAGTGTTCCCCAGAGTGTGGTAGGCAAAGGAAAAGCTGTAGGAGCAGCACTCCCTGTGGTGGTACTGGTACATGTGATGTTTCCAATTAAAAGTTTGGTAAGTGCCCCTGGTGCAGAACATTTGGTTGCATAGTCTGTTATTCCAAAATATCTGAATGCCATTGCCAGAAACAGCCTCCAACTGGAGGAGCTGCTCTGGAAAGTGCATGAGGAAGTGTTTGTTGTATCAGCCAGATGAGTGGCAGGGGTAGGAACTGTGTGAATAGTCTGACCATGGTTGGTTTGTCACTTCTTCCATTTCAGCTGGATGCTGAGAAGGCCAAGCTGAAGCTGGAGAGATGGGGGCCCCGAGATGCTGGCAGTGGGGGTGGAAGGAGCCAGGAGATGGAGTCGAGTGGAGACTGTGATGATGAGGATGGCTGCCAAGGATCCGGGGACAGGATGCACACAGCAGGTAAATACAGTTCTGCAGCAGGCACTGAGAGAGCTGAGAAATTTGTGTCACAATTAAGTGGACAGAGCTAAGACTTACACTGCTTGAATTGCTGTCAAAATCCTACTAAATTCTAAGGATTTGAATCTTAATCTGTGAAGAGCTGCAGTAAAAATAGAATGATACAGACAGCAACCCAATATAATTTAACACTTGGCATGCAGATAAAAGACTTAAATGTAGACTGAATAAAGTCTGCAATGAAATCTGGATCACAGGGATGCTGAAGAGCCTTCCTAGATAATGTGGGCTCTTCAGATAAATAGAAAATTGATAACCTTATAGAGTATGCTAAGCATTAACATAAACCTTTATTTATTCCAAAATGACACTGAAGGATGATCCAGAGTTGGCTCAATGTATATATTCTTGAAAAAAACATAGGAGGTTTTTCCCCTAATGGAGAATTGCTGGTTAAATGAAATTTCTTGATAGTCACAGATATTGCATTCTGCAGTATTTATTCATTAAATTACTTAGATAATATGTCATCAAGTATAGAATCAACTTCAGAATCTAACAACTTCCACCAGCATACTGGCAATATAATACGTGGTTAAATCCTTTCAGTAACTTAATAAGAAGTCAAATGTTTCTAAATACTTGGCATTATTGGTTTACCTGATCTCTAAGTTCTGATTCATATTACCTCACCAAAATATAACTGGTTTAATTTACTGTAGTGTAAATATGATGTGGATGGGATGTGCAAATACATGGAATACAGGTATAAGAGTGCTGAAAACGATGCTCATTGGGATGGCTGGAGCTCAGGTAGGTTTTGAACTGCTGAGATAAACAAATGTCTTTTCCTTGTCCCTTTGCCACTGAGTGGAGAGGGGAAGGAGGTGTCTCATACTCAGGTAAGATTTGCAAACATGCTGTGATCAACTTGTGGTCAAGACTTCAGCTGTCCATATTGTGAATATTTGTTCAGGAAAAGCAAGCTTAAAGATGTACTTTGGAATGTGTGCAGAGTGTTCCAGGTAAGTGCAGTAGCAGCTTAGAAACACTTGAATTTTAGTTTGCACTGATGGCCTGTATGATCAGGGTATCATCACACAGGGACACTGCTTTTAAAACTCGGTAAGGAATTACATCTGACAGATCAAGCCGAGGTTTTCACCATCTGCTCACCAATATTTTTGAACAAAGGAACTAGGAAACAATGTTATTTTAGAACTCTTTGCTTAACTATTTAATTGTTTACTCTATTTCATCCACAAGCGAAGAAAAGACTTGTAGAGGTTTGAGACCCTGGGGATTTAGGAAGATAAATACTGTAATAGGATTTCCTTTCTGTGTGGAGTAATAGAAACAAAAGCCAGGTGCTTGGTAGTCTTCAATGAACAATCAAACTATTAATGCACCATTTGGGGAGGATGTGTATGCATGCTTCCATGGACAATGGCAGAGTTCAAAAATAAAAACTCGAATGCTTTCGAGACTTGACTTTCAGCTGACATTAATAATGGAAAGCTACTTAATGTCACTTTTTCTCCTTTTTTTTGCAATCTGTTTAATTAAATTATTTTATGCTGATATCATCCTGGATTTAAAAGAATTATATTTATATAACTGGCTGTTTCAGAATTTAGCAGGGTGTATATCCAATTAAAAAGGTAATTACAATAAATTTTAGAAAATGGTATTGATTCATAACAGAAGAATAAGTATTTCATTGTGTGACAATAGTAATGCTCTAGCATAATTAGCTTTAAAATATTGTACTGTATACAAGCCACTGGCAGTAAATCTCTTTTCCATATCTGGATACAATTAAGAGATAAAATGCAGTAATCTCATTATGGAGCTGCTTTGCTTTAATAGAATGCTAAAGAAAAACAAACACGAGATTAGTTGAATTTCCCCTTGCTGCATGTCTGTGAGATGATGTTGGCAGTGGTACAGCCTGTGAACTTGGATTTCCTAAGCTTCAAACCCATGCAGTCCATCCTGCCATTATTTAGTGGAAGTGGAATGTGACAGCATTGCCCATTCCCTGCTTGCCTGGAAATCGAGTGGTGAATTGGCTCTAAAGCTACATCCCAAATGGAGCCCTGAGCTGAAGGGTGGTGAAGTCAGTGGGGATGTCCCTTACAGGTGTGGGGGGGACACAGATGGGAGCTGTGAAACACCACTGGGCTCTTCAGGGCATGTGGGAGCACAGAGTCACACAGCAGAACTAAAGGAATAAAAAACAAATAAAAGCCTTTCCAAACACAGACTTTTTGGCAGAGCAGTCGTGCTTTTAACAACAGACCCATGAAAAACAGAGGAAAATATTTCAATGTCAGCCTCTAAATTGTGGAATTGAGACTGTTGTAAATATGTACTACATCTGTCATTTATTCAAAACTGTATGAAAATTGTATTTACTGCTCTATGTGTTGAGAGCATTGCAAGACTGAGATTGCTTTTAGTTTTCAAAAACTTACTGAATGCTCATTTCTTTCCACCTCCCAGAAAAAAAAAAAAAGCCTTTTCCTTACTGATAAATGGCCAAGAATTTCATCAATATGTGGGTTACCATCGTGAGATATTTCTGTTCATAGCTATTCATAAAGATTACCCCAGACACGGTGCACTGCTGATTCTCCATGGTGCTTTTCCAAGCTGCTAGCAGAGGGCTGGGCTCCTGGGTTTTAGATTTCAGCCTGTCCTGAGTGGGGGAGCACAGAAGTGATTGTGTGTGTATATTCCAGCCAGCTCATTGTAACACCCTTTTCCCTCTTCTGTTTTTTATTCCCTTTTGCTTGGGGTTTGCTATCTCTGTAGTTCAGCTCATCCTGCAGTGGACAGTCCAGTCCTGTCCTTTTGTTTGTCACCTTCTGGCCTTTGAGACTCATGCCTGCATATCAATTAATCTTTTTATTTTATGTCTGTAATTAAGATACATGGCTGTCTATTAGCTAGTGCCGAGATTTAGATTATCTTTGTTGCAAGTAAATCTTTGCTTGACCCATTCACTGTTACCTGAAAAGATCAGCACTTCTTTAAATGATAATGGGCTTAATTATCTATTCTGTATCACGTGTGTTTAACCAAGTGATTTTTACGTGAACAAGATAAATTCTCAGGAAACCAGGAGTCTCTTCAGAAATGATGGCTGGTAGGAGATGCTTTATAATGTCCTGTTCTCACAGGCCTTACCAATTACCCCGAGGATCTCTTCCTGGGGAAAGCTGTGGGAACAGCAGTTTCTCAAGCAGGCCCATGTGTTATTTGTTGGCAAGTACCAACTTTTTAATGACAACATCTGTGAATCATCTTTGAACAAAGCTTTGTTAGGAGAGATTTAAGAAGAGGAAAGCCAGCCATATAAATCTTGAGCGTGGATGGGGAAGTTGCTCTGTGGTTTGCCCTGCTGCAGTCCTGCAGGTTTCTGGGCAGAAGGGCAAAGCAGCATCTTAGGCTGAGCTTTGCTCACAGAACCAGTGCCTTAGATGGATCTGATGGCAGTGTGAGTCCTTGTTCTTACATGGACGTGGTGCTGCTGGAGAAGAGCAGGGATTGCTCGGTGCCCTGCAGGATTGAGGGAGAGGAATGAGTGTCCTGCTGCTCATGGAAAGAGAGCAGCAACAGATCCACGTTGGGTCCTGCCTCTGCTGCCTCCTTTCCAGAGGAGAAAAATGCTTGGTGAAAAGTGAAGGAAGCTTGTGCAAGGAATTCCAATTCCCAGCTCTGTGTTGTGATGAGGCCCCGCCCAAGCAATGGCAACCAACATTAGGTGTCAGTTCAGGGAAATCATGAGGTAATTAATTCCTAAACAAAGGTGGAGGAAGTGTTTAGGCCACAGGCAGGCTTAAACCTGTGTTTGGTGCAAGGCCCAAGCAGCTGTGTGGAAGTTGTGTGGATTGTGGTGGAGAAGGTTGTGCTGACACCATTCTGGGCTCATCAGTCCATGAGCACACCTGCATGCAGGGGAATCCCAGGTATTCCTGCATCTCTGTGTGGGGCTGGATGTTTCACACTGCCAGTGCAAGACAGAAATTAATCCAAGTTTCTGTCTGGAGGAGCCATTGTGCACAGTCCCAGGGAGTGGAGCTCATGCTGGACTGCAGCTGTGCTCTGGCTGGCAGGGCAAGCAAACAGCACAGCTGCAGGACAAGACAGTTTAGTCCATCCTTGGGCCCTCGTGCACTGAGCAGAGCACACAGCCCCAAATGTCTGCTGTACTTGAACTTCAGTCTTTGCAGAGTCACCTGTCTGAGGTCAGACTCTGTATATGGCTCGAAAAGCTCAGGTGGGACAGGTGTTAACCCCACTCCTTCTGACATGCCTTGAAGATGGTTGGGACATGGAAATGTGGAGTTTTCCTTTCTCTTGGCTCACTGCCTTGTTCCACACAGAGACAGGCTTCTGCTGGCCCCATCCCCAAAGCAGTGGGTGTCCATGGAATCACAAGTGCTGACCCTCAGGCATTGCAGGTTTTATACAATACTTTCAGTCATGTCTGTCACTTAATGCATCCTGGGCCATCCCAGCCAGACTCTGACCATGACTGTGGGTTAAATGTGTTTTATTGCTGTGATTTTTGCCAAATGCTTACCTAATCCCAGTTACCATCTTCTTCTGTACTTCTTCCTAATTCCTTCATGAAGCTCCCTCCCTTTAACAAGAGCTTTCAGATTTTGGACATCCCAGTTGGGCATCCTGCTTTATTGTCACAGATTATTGCCTGGGTGGGAATCTGTAACAAATCTACTTGGAACATTCAGATGATATGATTCCAACTCTTGGCTTTGTAGACAATCCCCATTTTTCTGCTTATCTTTCAGAGTATCCTGACTGTAGATTTCTTATTTAGGGCTTATGAGAGGGATGCATTTTTGCCCCAGTATGCCTTTACGAGTGCAGACAAGTAAATTTTCTTTTTTCTTATTGTCATCTGTCTGATCTGTGTCTGCTTCCAACAGCAATGGAAAGTTAATGCATTTCTCTGACTGCTTATAAATGTT